TGAAATCTCAAAACCACAGTATTTTCCTGTGGGATCGAATTAAATCTACAGTCAGAGGCTTGTACTTCAAATACTAGCAGCCTTGCCATCCGTCACAACACTATTAGTTTGCTAATGTAAACAAACAGAAAGAGTAATATATATGAATTAGTTCACTATTTTGTAAAAATTTGTATTTTTATTTACCAAACTAAAGTGGTTATTATTGACATGTTTAAACACATAGATGTGGCTGATTTTTGTAGGATAATACAAAAAAAACAACAACAACAAATGCTGGGAATGTGGTTTCACCAGTAAATCACCAATAAAATTAAACTACGGCTGTTTTTTAAGTTTAATTTTAAAACTCTAGAATCGCACAAAATCTACATTTTTTACCGCATGTGCAATTTGAAGGGAACAAGATCACGACACCAACCTTCTTTATGGCTGTTTTGTTTACGGGTTACACATCACAACATCCTCCTCTGATTAATACCTCATCTGAAGTAATTCCCAACTTGGTCTTGATGGCAAATCTTCTCACAAAATGAAAGTGACGTCTTTGGTTACAAGTTTGTGGGCATTTTAGTTGTTGTTGTCATGTGATATGTGTTTGACAGGACAGACTGTACCTTGCATTCATTTTATACAGATTACAAAACCAGAGAACATTTGTTTTCAAATGCATTAAGTTTGCATAAAAGCATTAAAGCCATTTTAGGTTCTCTAGGATTACCTAAATGATTTACATTTAGCACATCTCAGGGCTTTGTGATGGCCACTCCAAAACATTCACACTCTTGTTCTTAAAGCACATTTTAACTAATTTGGCAGTATGCTTAGGGTCATGGTCTGTTTGGTCAAGTTTTTAATTTCCTGGCTGATGTTTTAAGAAGTTGCTACAGTATTTTTACATAATATTCTTTCTTCATGATGCCATCTATGCTGTGAAGTGGGCCAGTCCCTCCTGCAGCAAAACAGCCCCACAACATGATGCTGCCGCCCCCATACTTTACAGTTGGGATGGTGTTCCGAGGCTTGTAAGCGTTCCCGTATGTCCTCCAAATGTAACACTGATCATTATGCCTAAACAGTTCAATCTTAGTTCTATCAGACCACAGGACATGTCTAAAAATTATTATTTTTCCCTGTGAAATTTAGCAAATTGTAATTGGCTTTTTTGTTGTTGATTCTGGCTTGTTGATTTTCCCATGTTGTCACACAAGGAAGCAGTGTGTTTGAGGTTTTCCTTAAATACTATTCTACAGTTGTGCCTCTAATTAACTGAAATGTTGTCAAAAAGCCAACTTCCAAAACCTTGGCACCATTATCTGAACTTTTTCAGAGGCAAAATAATATTATTGTACTTGACTCTTAAGAAAAGCTATAACAATTTCTCAAAAAAGATCTCTCTCATTATACTGCTATTTCGCATAACATAAACAAATTTGATAATCCTAACTTACTTAAAAGAGAAAAAGTTTAGTCACATTAACATCTGACTTTTTTATTGGTTATATGCCTTTTTATACAGTGTATGTAAACTTCTGGTTTCAACTGTATGTCTGTGAAGCAATTAGTCACTGAGATTCCTGTGCATTTGCCAACCCCAGATAATTTAAAACAACTGCAGAAACTGTTGTTAAAACAGACCTCTGGTCCAAGCCCCTCCCCTGGAGAATCGTTAGTTTAAAGCGATTAATGATTGGGTTCTGTACTAGAAGGCGGGACTTCATTTGCTATATTGACATTACACTTTCCACAGTTCGAAACTTTATGAGTGACATGTTTTGTGTATTGTGTAGTCTTTGTTTATAATTAGTTTTTTAAACTTCAAGCTTTTTAAGACTACCCAGCAGGCACAGGACGTCAACATTACGTCAAATTGACATTGTACGCCAATGTCGTGGGATGTTGCATTTTGGGTGGAAATGAAAATTGGAAAATCGTTCACGTCAGAGTCCAACGTCAGGCCGACGTCAATTTCCAACATCAGAAAGACAATGCATTTTGGTTACTTTCCATTGCAAGCTGAAAACAACAAAATATTAACATCTAATGATGTTACCGCTTGACTGTTACCAATATGACGTCTATTAGATATTTTGATTTTGGTTGAATGATAAATAAATGTCAGTATTTGATGTCAATTTGATGTTGGCTTAAGATGTTGGCTCAATGTTAGATTTTGGTCACACAACCTAAAATCAATCAAAAATCTATGTCATTTTACATCATTACTGAACATCAAGATAACATTGTCCTTAGACACTGCCGACCTTAACCTAACCTTGATGTTAACATCTTATGATGTTGTGTACCTTCTGGGTACATCAAACTTTCAGGTTAGGTTTTCCCAACCCAACATCAAAGTTCGTCAACAATTTTTAATGCTTTCCGCATATGGTCAGTTGTGCTGCGTGTATGTCACACTTGCCCATCCACAATAGTATACTTTTAGTTAACCCAAGCATTTAGTGTTGCCAAAACCTGCTAGAAAAAAAACTGAATTAAGAATAAACCTATAATAATAAACAAATAAGCCACATACCAAAATATAGCAAATTCAAGAGTGAGTCCTGTTCTGTACACATGCAGAAAGATTATTAAAAAGATTCCCTACTATATTTAAATGCAATTATCACTCCCGAAACTTTGAATTTTCTATGGGATTAATTATTGTAATCTACTAAATTTGAAGTTAAGACATGAGAAAAAAACATTTGCAAAAAACATTATGAAAAAATGACAGTATTTCTTTATTTTTATTATTTGGTGAGTAGTTGTTTAATAAGAAGGATAAATCTGTCATCTCTAGCTTTATAAAATGAACTGCATACACTAGATTCATTTTACACATTATCATCAGAATTCTGATTACTAACAGAATTGTGCTCTTTAACATTTACCCAAACGAACAGGTGGAACAAATATCCCTAATAATGGCAGGGGGACTGCAGACATCAGCATCCACAGTGCTCCCTGAAGGCAACATTAACTTTTGAGCACATGAGAGTATTGAATTAGCCTCCTCTTGATGCTGCAACACCTAATCCACTTACCGTTATACTCTGTCTCTGGCCAGTCCTTGAAAAACCCACCTTATTTATTGCATCTTTGTGCAGACATTTTTATATGTTTATATATTTATATCTAAACACAGAGTGTCATAGGACGTCTCTAAATGCTAAAAGTTTCCATTCCACAGTGCAGGAACATTTCTGGTACAAAATAGATGCATTATAAGCGGAACAGATTGGCATGTCGAGAAATGATGTTAAAGCAACTCTCTCACAATTCAGTTGCTTTTAGACATGACATCAAGTTTTATGTGCGCAAGCGTTTTAGCGGAGAAAAACTATCCGCTTTGATTGACTGTTTAAGGGAAGAGATGAAAGACTGAATGGATGAAGCAGTTGGATTTGCCCCTGGGAGAAAAACAGAGGCCAAGGGTCTCAGAGGCCCCTTTAAAAAATGAGGGAAGGACTAATAGCAGTCATTATTATTAGCAGTCAAAAGTATATTTAAACTGAAAGGAAACTATTTGTAAAACGTCCATGTGTGAACAGTTAAGCAACCTTACAAGAGTTCATAACTTTTTTTATTTAGTGTCTTGTTTGTATGAATTCATATTATCTCTTATGTACAGTTTTCAGTTTTCTAATGCTCTCCACACTCTCAGAAAAAAAGGTGTACAGTGGTACAAATAATGTTCCTTGAGGAACAGTTGTGTACCTTTGTAAAAGTTGTACCTTATATCGTACCGAAAAGACCTCTAACGATACTGTTCTGTGCCTTTTATGGTACAACTAAAATAAAGGTACATGATTTTTCTCATATAAAAGGTACAAAAGTGTTGGACAACTCCTTTTTTATTATAATACCTATGAAAATAAATATTACGGGAAAGGCAAAGTGATTTTATGATGAATTTCCATATTGAAACATGAATCATCATTTACAAGCATATGTTTAAAAAAAAACTTTAAAAATGTATTATTAAGTTCTGTGATACAAAGCAACTGGTTAAACATAAAACTATAGGTATTGTAAACTGATAATTTAAGGCATTTTAAATAAATGTTTGGTATGGATTTTTGACAATGTTAAGGTACAGAGTGTCACTGTGGTGGTACCTGTATAAATTAAATTTGTTCCTTTGATGAAGGTACAATATTGTATCTGCAGGTTTTAAAAACCGAAGGTACATTTTGGTTTTCCATGGTACAAACGATGTCCTTAAAGGTACAAACTGCAATGGTACATATTTGTTTTTTTGTCTTTAGGTACAGTTCTGTCCCATAAAAAGGTACTGCCCCAGTGACAAGGGTTTGTACCTTCTTTGGTACAACATTGTACCATTTTTCCGAGCGTGCAGAGATAGCTATGTTCAAGGGTGAGTCTTCCTTTTAATAATTGCAAATTTGAACACAAATAACATTGTATGATTTTATTCAAATGAGCCTTCTTTTCACCATCCGTAAAATATAAATATTCATTTATGCTATTGTAAAAAAGCACATAACAAATATGTTAACATGTAATTCATTTGATAATGTCTGCATCATGCAATAAAAGTGCACCATAATGGACATCAACATAATGTCCAGTTTATTTTCCCCTGCTGCTTAATGAGTCTGGCTTAATGAAATATTATTCAGTTATTTACTAGGAGTTTACTTTTAACATTTACAGAGAGCCATTTGCTTTTCTTATTCATTTGTACCTTGCCTTGTTGATCTGGGTAAATATAGTGCAGTCAAAACGAAATGTCTCTCTACAAGTCCTTATGTATTTATATTTGTGTTATTGGAAAATCATTTAATGTGTTTTATGCAAATTTGAAAGCTTTTGACAAAAAATGCGTTGAAAGAGTAAGCAGAACATGTTGGAGAGAAAAAGGTGACCAAAGAAATGATGGGAAAGTCTGTCTCTTCCCCCAAGGGTCTCTCTCTGCCTTTCTCTCTTTCTCTCACCCCCTCTTTTTTCTCTCATGGTCATGGACGTTTCCGGCCCCTGCGGCGCAGCCCCCGCTGCAGGTCCCTGGTGTGGTTGTAGGACTACGATAGAGGGGTATAAGAGAGACGCTGAGGAAATCCATTGGGCACACTGTTATGATCAAGAGTCAGGACGGCTCTTATAAAAGTCATATCCTGAATTTTGGAACTGGCAGAGAGGCTTGAAGGTGACTTACACTAAAGGTAAAATATCAGTTTTGTTATTTCATTATATTTTTAATCACACCTTCAATTTGTAGAATGAATTTGACACATAAACTCAGGAACAAAGCAGTGAAAGTGTCTAACTAAATATTTTGACTGTAAAGTTTGTAAGTGTGTGTTCTCTGTTGTCTCTCCAGCTACAATACATTCATTGATTTGAAAGTGCATTCACATTAAGATTCTCAGTCGAGGTAAGTACAGTCAAAGGATTTCAGCAGGTGTATATGAAAACAATAACTAATAGGTATATCCTAGTTAATGGATTGCATTAAAAAATATGGTGAAACTTTACAATAATGTTGATTGATGTATTTACTAACATGAACTAATAATGAACAATACAAGTACAGCAGCATGTATTAATCATAATTCATTCAGCAATTAGTGTACTAATGCATTATTAAAATCTAATGTTGTCTAAAATCTAATGCTTAATAACATTAGTTAATGCACTTTGAGTTGATTTTGTGTTGAAGTTTTTAACAATGAAAAACTTTCTTTTCGTTACATTAACAACAACAAATAAAAACTGTAACAATCGTATTGTTCATGGTTTGTTCATGCCAGTAAATTCATTATCTAACATTATCTTATGCAAGCTTATTGTAAAGTGTTACAGGAATTACACATTTTTTAAATTTGTGTATTGAAGATTTTTCAGAATGTTCAGGTCAGATATGGAAATGAGGTATTAGAGGCCAATTTTTTTTTAGAGCGGGGATTTTGGGCATCTCTTTTTAAATATAATTCAGAAAATGCTGCAAACAGCCAGAATAAAACATTAATTCATAATATTTTTTAAGAATAAAATGCTTTGTATAATTAAACAAATTACATAAGAACATATCGCTCCATTAAAACAATAGTTAAAATATAGATATGAATAAAATTGTGCTGTATGTACTGCTAAAGTAGAGATTTCTGGCTTAGTATAAAGCAGAAAAAGTATTTTGAGAGGAAATTCCTTTAAAAATATTTGTAATGTAATTTAATTCTGCTGTCAGAAATGTATTCTGCTGTCAGAAGTGTGATAGAGCACATTAAAAAGTTTTCTTTTCATTCGACTAAAAATCACTTTGTGTGAAATTTAAGTTAAAAAATAAAACATCTCCCTGCATGATATTTTGTGTATAAACCGTCCTTCGCTGATTTTGTCATCCGTCATTATAGGGAGTGCAACATTTTATTAGACCACCGAAATAAAAATAAATGCAAACCAAAACAAAAATCTCTTATCAGTTTGACAAATTAGGCTATTCTGATCAGCCATCACTTCCTGAACCACAGCGGATGTCTGATAAGCATATTAAAATAGATTGAATGATATTCAAAAGACATGAACCTTGAAATGCTGTGCCGTCTGTTATTGGTTCTTGACTCCCTTGGCAGCAAGCCTGCATTTGCTTACATAATAGCTTGTCTTATGGAGCAAACAGTTTGAGCAGAGCAATTTTAATAGCTTATTTGAATAAATCCAGAAGCGAATCAGGTTTTTTGGGCAAATAAGTTACATTTTAAAAGAATTTGCCTTGGTGGCTTATTTCTGAAAAATTAATACACAAAACCAGAGCATCTAATGTATTAGATTTCTTCATGATGCATTATTTATAGCATGTGCTTTTGAAAACTGAATGCTAAAATTTTGAGTATGAAAAATATTTTTAGTCATTAGTAAATTCTTGCTGAACAATATATTAACCAAAAGATATGCTTGCACTTATGGTGAGAATCCAGCGTTTACAGGAGAAGACCAGCTAGAAACTAATGTTTGACCTTTTCCAGAGGTCAGTAGTTCAGCCAAGAGCAGCCTTGCATGCGTTTTCATTATGGTACAGTTGTGGGAACAGCTTGAGAGACTGAACAGCTCTCACAGTACTCTGGAGATGTGGAGGTCATACTTAAAGAGGAAAAAACACCTTAAATATCTTCAGAGACTCAAACTGAGCTAAATATGCAAAATGTGTTGTTGTATATTTACAGTATATCGTCAACATTTAAAGTGGATCAAAACCTTTCATTAAAGATGCCATAAAACTATTGAACAACACCCATTCATGTCTTAGGAGAATTTTGAAATACCTTTTTGATCCATTTCAAATGTTTACCACTGTTTATTACAAGGACATAGGGAAGAGACTAAATGAGGTGAATAAATGCAAAAAGGTTTAGTTAAAAAAACACCCTTTTCAATAAGTTGCCTACATGCCTAATAGTACGCTGTTAAATACTGTTTATTAACTGATAAAGAGAAAATGTAATAAAGACTTCCATTTATTTTAGCCATAGTGCAAATGAAACATGTCTTTTAGTATTAATAAGAGATGGAGTAGAGGCTCTGACAGATTGTTTCAACTGAAATTAAACATGCTACTCTGAGAGATAAGGAGAACTGGCAGGGATCATATACTTTTACATTTAGCTGTTTATTCTGCATTTAGTTTTTAGGGCACATTGTTCACAGATTATATCAGTCTGCTTTAGGGTCTGCATATGTGTTTGGGGGTGGTGCGACTCGAGAAGAGAACATTATTTAATCCTTTTTGCATGTCTAGGTTAATATTGACAGCATTTTTTTAAAGTGAATCAAATTATTATTGGGGAAATTTCAATATTGGTGGATATTGGGGGGCATGTGTCCCCTCCGTCCATGCTAAATCTACTCCCCTGGTTTATTACTTATCGCTGTTGACAACACTGAGCCTCTTTGTATTTACCAATAAGATTATCAAAGCTCTGGGTTTTTATTGTTGTCTTGAAATTCTAGAAATACTAAACAATAGTTTGCAATTCTTATATCATATAAAAGTATATATATCTCTGCATGACACATACGTGAAGATGGGCAGGTTATAGGTATAGTAAAACTAAATCTATACTTGTTGAAAAGTAGTAAAACTAATTTGATAATGTTGATAATTAAGAGGCTTTAAAATGTATGTATCAAATATAAAAGAATATGAGCTTTATGGAGTAAACAACATTTATTGTAATGCATAAACTAAAATTAATCTTATTGTATTCATTGTGATTTTTACATATGGGTCAAAGACAAAACAACAATAAAATGAAACCCCCCAAAACCATTCATATTTAAAACAAAAATCATTTGATGACACTATTAAAAGACTACTTTTAAGGAACACAAGTAATACAAAATAATTGCAGCATTCTAGCTTTAGAGTTTGCCAATTGTCATTCAGAAAACTACTGTGATTACTTGTTGTTTAATATATTTTAAATAGTAAAGCTCAGAATAAGTGTGTTGTTTCTTTTTTTACATAAAAATATCTGTTACACTGAATGACGATGAAACATTATTTTACCAATATTCTGATATCTCATTTTCACAAATAATAGATTTTAAATGCTTGTAAATAAAATCACTTTTTTAAATTTAATGGACACCAAAACAAGACTACTTGTCTATGACCCATACACATTTGAAGTTTTATAAATTAATTTATCAATTGCAAATATACACAAATTGCTACTGATGAATGGGTTAATTATAAACAAACCATAGATAAGTAAATGTTGTGTATTATACATTAATAGTTCAAGATTCCTAATGTTAATATTCTGAAACTTACATTAAAGTTCTGAATGGAGCTGCTGATGAAGTACAATCAATTCAACTGTAACCCAAGACAGTCAATCTCTTAAATGACATGAACAGGGAGACCTCTGGTGTGTGTTGTAAGTATTGCACCTACAAATTGCAAACATACATGAAGCCTTTTCTCATATTAACTATCAGTGTCCACTCTACTTTCACAGGACTCCTTTAATAATGATGCCTCTCTTTCATCTGTAAAAACAACAGTGTGTTGACAAATCTCCAAAATGGACAACGTCACTTCCGACTCCAACACGGGACTTGCCCTCGCCTGTAACATGACAGGACACCACAGTTTCATCTTCACCTTCATCCCAGTTGTCTACAGCTTCAACTTCATCATCGGACTCATAGGCAACAGTCTGGTAGTCGCCGTCATCTACTTCTGCTTAAAACTGAAGACAGTAGCCAACATATTTGTCTTCAATCTAGCCGTTTCAGACCTTACATTCCTCCTCACCCTTCCCATCTGGGCCATTTCCACTGCAACAGGCTACCATTGGCTTTTCGGAGACCTCCTATGTAAAACAATAGCTGGTATGGCTCTCCTAAATCTATATACTAGTATTTTTCTTCTCACTGCTCTCAGCGTTGACAGATATTTGGCTATCGTTCATCCTGTCCAGTCTAGACGCTGCCGTACGGTGATCTATGCCCGGGTAACATGCGTTCTAGTTTGGGTGGTATCATTTGGCCTAAGCTTGCCCACAGCCATCATCCGTGGGACCCATTTCATCCAGGACAACAATGTTACCGTATGCGCCATTCACCACAAAGAAGACATTCGTAATGTCCTTGCAGCTCTCAGTCTGATGAAGAGCGTTTTTGGCTTTCTTCTGCCTATCACCGTCATCCTCACGTGCTACTGCCTAATTGGTCGGGCTCTGCCTAAAGCAAGGGACATTCAGAGAAATGCCAGGTCAAACGGGGATGAGGTCTTGAACATGTTGGCTGCTGCCGCCCTGTCCTTTTTCCTTTGCTGGGCTCCCCATCAGATCTTCAACTTCATGGAGATGCTTCTCCTGCTGAAAGTCATCACTAGCTGTGACGTTGTGGACATCATTGATACTGGGATGCCATTCACCATTTGCATTGCCTTTTTCAACAGCTGCATGAATCCAATATTGTACAGTTTTGTTGGAAAGAACTTCCGGAGGAACTTGTTGAAGCTCTTAAGGTGCTCCTCGACGTCCGTGGCCTCTCATCCAGCCCTCAGCACTAAGATGAGCTCACTTTCATATCGAACTTCAGAGTTATCGCACCTCTCTGTCATTAAAACCCCTTCACTCCCTCGGGCCACATGAGAGGAAGAGCGGAAAAACAGGAAGGGAGTGAATCATCTTTCTTAGTTCACCGTGATTCAATTCAGAAAGTGACTCTTGTTTATTGGCTGGTGACTTGGTATTGGAATGGGAACAACATATAGTGATTCATCTGTCATTTTTGGGTAACGACCACATTTAGGAGGGGGCGCAAAGGATAGTTTCAGTATTGGGTTATGAGTATGGTCTTAATACATGTTTTTCTGTGTTTATTTAGAAGTGAAAAGTAATTTGAAATAATCAAGAAGCCACGATTACATCATTCATTTATTAATTTATTCATTTTTCTTTGGCTTAGTCCCTTATTTATCAGAGGACGCCACAGTAGAAGGAACCACCAACTATTCCAGCATATGTTTTACGCAGCGACTGCCCTTCCAGCCACAATCCATTACTGGAAAACACCCATATTCTCTCGCATTCAAACACATATACTATGGCCAATTTAGTTCATTCAATTCACCTATAGTGCATATCTTTGGACTCTGTGTTGGAACCCCATTCAAACACAGGGAAACTCCCGAGGTAAACATGCAAACTCCACACAGAAATGCCAACTGACCCAGGCGAGGCTCAAATCAGCGACCTTCTTGCTGTAAGGCGAGTACACACTGTGCCACACTGCAAATAACAGAGTAAATGTACAACTACAATTACAGAGATGATAAAACAGCTGTTAAGAAAGCATGTGGGCATGCTAGCTGTTTCGAGATGCAAATTAAACTTATCCCCAAAACTGGAATATCGCATAAAACATTGCCAATTGAGCACTGTTTCCATTTAACCAATCCAAAGGAACAAAATAGTAACTTCCTGATGAACTAACGCCAAATATCAACAGGAAATATGTGCTGCGGTAGCAGAAGCCACAACCTTTTTACCTATATAAGAAATTTCTTGAACCTCAGAAGATGAAGTGGCTTTTGGAGACACAAGACTGCTCATATGAGCACAGCCACTCAAGACTCTCAGGTTCTGGAGGAAATAATACAGAACCACTTTGTAGATGGGATTTGAAGCAATTTAGAACGAACAAAACATACAAATTCAGATGTCATGTAATGTGGTTGGTCTGTTGGTTTGTCCATGATCCGTTAATGCAAAATCAAGTGACTTTTGAAAGGCATGCTAGAATTAATTCGAGAAATGTATTTCCATCTTAATTGTGCACTTTTTCTAATAAAAGGTCGATCCTACTCAGTTCTAAGAATAATTTTCAAGACTAATGTGCATCTTCACATTTCCATTAATCATTTTTTACAAATATTTGTGATATTCTAAAATGCACGAGCGGGGTCTGGATGCAGAGTTGGTGCAGTTGCAATCTGAGCTGCATTTTTATTGTGCACACCTAATCCTACCCGTAACCCTACTCCTCAAAGTGACTTCATTAGCTCCATTGTTTACATTGTGTCTGACATGGCAAGTTCAACACTTGCAGTTTCAGCTTGCAAATTCAAGACTGCATCCAGATACTATTGAAGAGCACGTAAAAAAATAGGTGGTTTCAAACATAGCTAATGTGGGTGTCTGCTTGAGGTCTGCAATTTGGCAGTCCTGTCAGGTCACATTGTGTGTATTTTTATAGCATTAAAAAAAATTGTGTCAGTGCTGCTTTTGATTGAAAATACATTTTTCTATAAAGCAGCTTTTCATTGGTTTAGTGCCATGGTTTAGAGTGATTTTAACCACAATCAAACATTAAAGTTGCTATTTTTGCTGAAGACGAGTGTCGTTGAAATATACCTTGAAAAATGAGCTGTAAGTGATTGCAAGTTCTGAGGTGAATGTAACCAGCAAGCATGCATACATACAAAATAAATTTCAGTGACATTGCATATTCAGCAGATTGACGGCAGCGCACATGCACTCATTATATTGCTTAAAGAGTTAGTTCAGCCAAAAATAAAAATTGTTATTAATTACTCACTCCCATGTCACTTCCAAACCATAAAATCTTCATCTTCCATCCTTTAAATGTTTATCGTTGAAATACAAAATATTTTAGATGAAATCTGAAAACTCTCTCATCCTCCATAGACAACAAGACTTATTTTTGATTATTGCCATGAATGTACTGTATATGTAAATGTGATCCAAAACCACATGTGTGTATATGTATATATCCATTGTGTATTCCTTGTCTCTGAATTAATGATAAATGTACAGCAGTCTTTTTAACCCAAACTGGTTTCAAGCATCCTGTCTCACAGCTCCATTGATTAGTCCAGGGGTTTTCAAACTTATTTATGACACTCAAATATGATCCTTTCAAGAGTTCACACTTAGCTGATGATTGATTTTAAGCAAGTTTGTCATGCTGTCCCAGGAGAGAGCCCTGAGCCCATAAGGTCCTTGAGCCCTGGGCTCCCTCCAATTTGCAGGGCGAGAGGGGAGGCTTGAGCTCAGGTAGATCTCGACAACTCCCCCTTGATAAGAGCTGATGAATAAAATAAATAGTATGAATGAGATATGCTGCAGGATGAGATTTTGGCTGTAGTGCTTAATTTAGATTGATCAATTCACTTTAGTGCATGTTTTTGGAATGTGGGAGGAAACCAGAGAACACCCATACGAGCATGGGAAGAACATGCAAACTACACACAGAAACGACCGCCAGCCTGTTAAAAGACTAGAACTGGTGACGTTCTTGCTGTGAGGCAGCAGTGCTAACCACTGGGCCACCATGCCACCCTATAAAGTGAAAGGTGCAGAAGTAGGGAGTGGAAGGGGGATTCTTCAAATTGAAAATGACTGTAGTGAGAAACCGTGGCTCTTTATAGTGGGTTAGGACTGGCCTGATTGGTGGATCCTACGTAGCTAATGCAGAACCAGCCGTGTTCAATCATAATCACGTGATCCTCTTTAAATTAGTTTATAAATAAACTTCACTTTGTGAATTGCGAGGAACATTCTTCCTACAATATAAAAGTCAGTTCTTTGTTTTTATGTTGTGTTTATGAAATGATGTAATATTATGATGATGTGATATATTTATATCAATAAAAAATATTCACTACAATATCTGGAAACATTAATAATTGTAATGTTTAAAATTTCTTTTTTCAATTTATTTGATCAAAAATACAATGAAAAACTGATATGGTGAAATATTATTTTAAAATGCGAAGAATTTTTTGTTTTCTGGGTAAATACATTTTAAACTAATTCTTGCATTATCATTACTGTATGAGCCTTCGTGATTCTTATTGACATCAGTCTTTTCAACAATTCTACTGCCTCTTTTTTTGTCATATAGTATCATTAAAATGTTTCAAATATATTTAAAAGAGTCTAACATTATAAATATTTTCCACATTCTTTACTGTTATAATTCATGATGAACTCCTTAAACTGGTCAAATGACACACTTGGTTTGCTTAAAATAAAAGCTGCTTTGTTATATTTTGTAACTTTGCATTTGTTAAAGTATAATCAAATGTATTCCTCAAAAATATGAAGCAGATTAAAATGTTTGGACTGATGATTATTTAAAAAAGATACTTCATAAGAAACATATATATATATATATCTTATACCATTGCCACTCATATTCCAAAAAGGCTGTAATTATTTTGAACTGTAAAATCATTTTTCTCTATATAATGTCCAGTAGTGGGAATGAAAATATATAGATGTGCTAAGTAGTGTCTTTTAACACCAAATCATCAATGAAATGAGATGATTTGTTACACAAATGAGGAGGTGTATTTGAAGAGTTTAAAATAGATAACTCAGTTTTTATTTGTTTTTATAAATACTTTTAGCGGGCATAAAAAGTTAATTAGCAAACAACAACAAAAAAACTAAATTAATAATCAATAAATAATATTAGTTTTCATTTGAACATTACAACTTTTTAATTGTCGAATTATATTTTAAAGGTATTTTTATTCCATAATTATTTCATTAATTCCATGCAATAAATGTGAGTTTTGTACCAAAAAAACCTTCGTCATGAAGTGAGGGGGGCGTGTCTGTTGTCAGCTGTCACGTGACCGTGCAAAGTCATGTCACTATAAATCCACTGACAGAGCACGTCCACTTTCTCTCCCAGCGTTTCAAGCCGAGGCCTCCTATTCGGTTCGGTTTGACGGTTTACGTGAGCCATGGCAGGTAAGCAATGTCATCAACGTCGCATGTTGTTTGTGTTTCAGAAATTAAAAACATCTTAAACTGCTGCGTTTGCGTAGCTGCAGTCGGTCTCGAGCACGCGCTGCTCCGAAGGTCGCTGGACGCGCTGGATGTTACAGCTGACATTTAATTTCGGCGTTGTGTAGACTCTGCCGTCGTGTAATATGTTGTGATACTAATTGTTTAGCGGCTGCTCTGTGGTTTAACTGGGCCTAGTCTTCTCTCACATGCGGAGCAACTGTTTGATGTGCTGTTTACAGTACCGTTTAGTGGCCTTGCATTGAGGAAGAGCTGCCGTTAGTTTGTCACTTCATCCCGGTGTAGTGGCGTTGAGTGCGGCGGTGCAGCCGAGAATCGGTTTGGCACAAACGCGTCTTCTTTTCAGCTGTGTTCAGTTACATTGATTTACATTTTACTACACTAGTGTGTTAGATTTAAAATGGCTTCAAACATTTGCTAATGGTCATTGGACCACATAACAGAAGTTAACAGTTTTTAAACCTCACTAGAAGTTGTAATGCCTTCTAGGCTCCATCTATTATTTTGTATTTTTTGAAATTTTGCTATTTTGTGATCGAGGTTTAATGAAATGCATGTTTATCTGAATAGTATGTATCTGATATGTATTAAGTTAATTGGCTTGAATTTCCTTAAGGAAGCTAATGTGCTTTCCTAATTGTTAAATAACACTTTTTCCCCCCCCCCCCCCCCCCATATACACACATCCCTGGAATTGTTAGGTTCGTGTTGGCTGTTTTGTTGCAAGATTTATGGAATTTCAAATTGCCCTAGCAGCAGCAGCATAATTTTCAAAAAGCTCCTGGAAATAACTTTTTTTTTTTTTTTTTTTTTTTTTTTTTTTTTTTTTTTTTTTTTTTACTCTGATCTGGCAGCTTTTAAAGTCGCTATATATTAAGTAATTTTTTAAGAGGAAATTAGTCAGCATCCCTACAGGTACAGAGTTTAACGCAAGGTCTAGCAGAACACATGTGATGCTAGCTGCTCATTCAGTAATGTTTTTAGTACACCATATTTGCTTGTGCTTCATTGTTTGGTATAGCTGTAGGAATATCTAAACGCACAAGGTGCTCAATTTTCTGCCAAGGCGTATGTTTTAAGTTGTTACAATTTAACAAACTTGACCTGCCTTAAGCAGCATCACCTAAAAATTATTAGTTTTAGGTCTTTGTGCCTCAGCCATAGTTACACTGGTATGAGTATCTAAATTTGCAGTGTATTTCAGCAGATGATTGGATTAAGCTAATATCATACAGCAAGATAAAGGCATTGGGTAACACAAACACTTAGCTTTTGTTAAATTTAAAACAAATTAAAGAAATTGTGCTCCACATGAAAGCTTGGCTGATTTAGTTGAGGTTTATTTATTTTTGTTTTAGCATTAAGGAAAATACTCGGTCACTCAGTGAAATTGCTGATGCATTCACCAATGCACCACTAGGTCTAGAGTAATAAAATCAAGAAGTTTGCAATTTGTGTTCCACTTGCAACATGTCTAACTTGTTGATGACAGTAATTGCAAGCTGATCATGGCCAGAGTCTTCAAGTAAAATAAAATTTCATTGTCAACACAGTTTGGCATTGACAAGTATAGTATTCAATAAAATTACTATACATTTGAGAATATTTGATTGTGACCTAAAGCTACATCTGAATAAACTTGCATCAGATGTCATGCGTATTTGTGAAGGGTGATTAATGCTGGCATCACCTATGGTTCATTTGGCAATGTTCAAAATTTGCCACTTCAGCACATGGTCAAGTTAAGTCTTAGCAAAATTTAACTTTTGCCCCCCACTGCTTACCATCTACAGCATTGCTCATCTGAGATTGCAACAATTGGTTAATGACAATTTGCTTTTTAAATTGTCAGCAGAAATTTGAAGGTCTTGACCTTTGCAGAAGGTGACAATTTTGATTAACATCCACACTTTTATTAGTCTGGAAAAATATAATCCTCTGGGTTAAACGAATTAAAGTTCCAGTACTGTTATAAAAATCACCCCTCTTAGGGTGACAAATGGCTGGGCTAAAATGTTTGATAAAATATTTTCATCTATGGTATAAAGATTCTACAGATATTAAAATCATTGATAATGATAATGGTGTGTTTGTATGCTATTGCAGACCAGGCTTTTGTCACCCTTGCTACAACTGACAAGTATGCCAAAGGAGCAATGGTACTTGGCAAGTCTTTGAGGAACCACAACACATCGAAGAAACTAGTGGCCTTGATTGGCCCCCATGTCTCTGAACCCTCCAGGTAAAGTGTTTTTGAAGCACGGCAAATTACAGTAGTTTTCAGTTGTAGTACTGGCGTTGATGAAGGTCAATAGTCAAAATGTAGCACTTAGTATTGTTTCTCGACCATGTTCATGGAGGACCACTAGCTCTGCACATTTTCAATCCCTCCATAACCAGACACTCCTGATTCAGATCATTAGCAGAGACTGAGAGACCTGTGATGGAGATGGACAAAAGAGGCCTTCCAAACATGCAGTGTTAGTGGTCCTCCAGGAACGTGGTTGAATTGTTTGGTTGGTTTGTTTTCTATGCTACAGAGTGTGATCTATAGATCAATCAGTCTGACTTTGCTCTGTGTGCTCATTGTAGAGCAGTGCTTCATAAAATCTATGATGAAGTCAGGCTGGTGGATGTGCTGGACAGTCGGGATGCTGCACACTTGGCCATGATGAAGAGACCTGACCTGGGTGTCACATTCACCAAACTCCACTGCTGGACTCTTACAGATTACTCCAAATGTGTCTTTATGGATGCAGATACTCTAGTGAGTGCCTTCAGTGTTGGTTGTAATGGCTTTGTGATCTTTTACAGATTTTCATTAATATGTTTGATTTCTCCAGGTTTTGTCTAACATTGATGAATTATTTGAGAGAGAGGAGCTTTCTGCTGCACCAGATCCTGGCTGGCCTGATTGCTTCAACTCTGGTGTGTTTGTCTTCCGCCCCTCCAATGAGACCTATGGGAAACTCATCACCGCCTGTTCAGAGGGTGGCAGCTTTGATGGCAAGTGACCTTTTTTAGATTTGGTAAAGAAGCTATGGGTGGAGCTTCTTAAATTTTGGGTTTGCAAAACTGGGTTGCATAATGATCCCCCCCCCCCGGGCTGTGAAAATTACACAAACTTGCTGGTGCTCAACATGGCAATGACTAAGTTCTTTATTAGTCCTGTAGCCTGAGCACAAGGTGGCTCTGTGATATCCCTTTTTTTTTTTTTTTTTGTGGGGTGCACCACTATACCCCAGGGAGTTTATTCCTGGGAATAAAGTAAACAAAGGCTTCTTAAATGAGACCACTCCTAGTACCTTGTAAATTCACTTTTGCTTTCAATTTGATTTCTGTAGTTTTTTATTTATTTTTATTAAATCTTCTAAACTTGCATGGGAGTGAGAAGTGTTCAAACACAGGTGATCACAAGATTCATTTAAAAGAGAATTAATACCAGGAGGAACCCATAATACCACCTGTGATCATATATACATAATTTTTTTTTCCCTCAATTGAAATTAAGACATTTTAATGGAATCAATTACATTCTTAATCCATATAAAGTAATTTTTTTACACCAAAACTTATTATTTATTTATTAAATTTAAATATGGTTTGCCTTCATATTTGGTGTGCTTTTATGCATGTTAAATTGCTGTATTTATATGGTGCTCTAAAATCCATGAAATTTGGCAACACTGTGTACTAACCGCAAATAGTTTCTATTAAAAGAAAAGTCTCATAATGAAGCGAAGGCCTTGAGCTTGCCCTTCATCATACTCCCTGATCACAATCAAAGTGCTATTCAATCAAACCCCAAGCTAGTTTTATTGCTAGTTTGGAGTAGAGCTATAAGCCAGCTCTGATACTTAAAACATCTGGTCCAAGACAATGAATTGCAAACATCTGGACAGTTGTGACTGTTCTTTGCTTGGTGAACCTGCTTTGGCACAAAACCTGGTGAATCCAACATGTTTGTGCAACTCATTGTCATTGTTTTTTTTTCAAGCTAGGCTTTGGCTCTGACTTTGAACAGCACTCAATGCCTTGATGCAAAAGTCTTGTTGTATAGGTGCTTTTTCCACATGTAACAAGCCTTCTATTCACTGATATCTATCTGAGGTCAGCTGAACCCAGGTCAGTTGTCTTTGCTCGCATGCTCTTTTTGAAGCAAGGGTTAAGGTTAAACAAACAGCAAAACAAGTGTATCCCGAAGCAATGTTGTATGCATTCCCTTCACCAAACCCTCAGTTTGCTCAACCTCTGATTACTTCAACCCTCTGTAAATATTTTTCATAGCACAGCAGAGCACCAGAAACATCTCAACCGGAGGACTATTTCTCAGTTTGTTTTTGATGTTTTCATCAGGTGGGGATCAGGGTGTCCTCAACAGCTTCTTCAGTGATTGGGCAACAGCAGACATTTCAAAACACCTTCCGTTCATCTACAACCTCAGCAGCATCGCCATCTATACTTATCTCCCAGCATTCAAGCAGTAAGAGAAATGTTAACATGCCAGATTCAGTTTTGTGCTGTTGATTCCTCATGGAATTGATACTAATTCTCATTTTGTTTTGTAATTGTGGACCGCAATTTCAATGCAGTCAACTCCTGTAATTTGTGATTTTTAATTTTGTGCAGGCTGATGTGCTTCTTTGGGGGGGAAAAAATTAACTAAAACAGGTCTTTAGGCTCTAAAAGCGTTCAGTACTTGAAGCTTTTCAGTGCAGTTTAAATGGTTCTATAATTCATTCTAGCAAAAAAAAAAAAAGGCTTTTCAATTTTTAAACTATAGTATCTGTTGTGGTTGGGGGGAAAAGTTTTTTTATAGAACCATTCAGCAAACAAGTTAATCACATTTACACTTAACACATGGTTCCAAAGTTGGGGCAGAACTTGAGTGTTTCAGAGCAAGTGTTTTTAGGATTTAGTTCCTGATTTAATTGGTTTAAGTTATTGATTCACAACTTAACGCAGTCACTTGATTCATTAAACATAGCTGATTCATTTAGAAATGAAGTATTTGGTTCATGTCTGCGACATTTAAGGGTTTGTCAAATTTATCCATAAATGGCCTAATTTGGACGAGGAGTCTGCACAAATACAATCATTTTTATTTGTATAGTTGTTTTGTCACATTTTTCATTAATGTTGTAAATGCTAGTTTGTAAATATTTGTTGTCTGCATCATAAAAGGTGCCAAGGTCAAATGAAAGCCTGTTTGTGTTGCTACGTTGTAACAAGAGCTGAAAACGGCACCAGAAATCTTTTCTGTTCTTTGCTTTGCACTGCAACTTCCTCCCAATCCAAAATAGAGGGGGCTATTTTAGGGTCTTTACACAGCCTAAATGTCATTTTGAATAGTTTGCTACATGATCTATTTTCCATTACCAACATGTGAGCTTAGTCAAGCTCTGATTTAGATGTACTTTTTATTGGAAGTTTTTAGGATGCCATCAAATGCCCAAAACACAATACAATTTAAGGGAGTATCAAATTTGACCCATTTGGCTGATCTCTCTTTAGAACTTCCGATTGGCCAGTGTTTGGATTTTCTAAATCATTGTAATTTTGGCGGAACGATCTGATCATTCCTTGTTCCTCTAGATACGGCCATGATGCCAAGGTAGTTCATTTCCTTGGCAAAGTCAAACCATGGGATTACAGTTTTGACACCGCAAGCAAAACTGTCAAGGGACAGTCCCATGATGCTGATATGCACCCCAACTACCTGCTGCAGTGGTGGGAGCTGTTCAGTTCTTCAGTGTTGGCTCTCATGAAGGAGGAGTACGGGGACCAACCCTTCTATTCTGGTTGCACAGAGGTGAGCAGAGCTTTCACGGCTCCACACTGAAACGGCATAGAGGCAAAATGTGGAAATGAGGACTATGACTAGTTCTGTCTTGTGTAAGGATTTCTTATACAAGAAAAAAGAATTAGAATTATTTATTTTTAAATGCACACTGTTGCATATATTTTATTTGGGGTGAAAAACCATACAGTGAACTTGGCTAGTACATTAAGAGATATTTGCAGTTTATACATGTAATATGAATTTTTTTAATTGCTTAGTTTATTTGGTGCAATGTTTTTATTTAATTTTTTTTTATTAATGTAAATGCTGCTAGTACGACAGACAAGGTTGCAAAGAATTCGAATTCCACAGTTTCTGATATTTGCTTTGATTTGATTTGCCCCCTCAGGGTGATATCCATGTTGACGTGGGTCAGATGCACTTATCCCATCCCCCTTCACCTCCGATGTCGTCTCAGGAGCGGAAGCAGAAGTGGGAACAGGGTCAAGCGGACTACATGGGAATGGACTCTTTTGACAACATAGAGAAAAAGCTAGATTCCTTCCTTAAGTGAGATGTAGACAATCAGATCTAGTTTTGTACTGGAGTATGTATGTACAGTCCATAAAACATTTGGAGAAAGAAATTATTGTGCATTTTGATTTTTCTACCGTCCAAATCATCTATGCAGCCCTATGCACTTAACCTCTACCACACTGTGGTCTGTTTGCACCAGACATTGACACAATGTTTCTGATCTCGCTGAACAATACACTACTGTTATCTTTCTCTTGTTCATCATGCCATAACATGATTATGGTCTCACAACATTCAGGTCTTACCTCCTTTTTATTTGCCTTTATTTTTTTTTCCCTCAATGTTTCTGATCTTTCAAAAACAAAGCAAACAATATAATTCCTTTTTTTTTTTTTTTTTTTTTTACGTCCCAAATATAAATTGGGCAACCAAAACTGTTCACTTATCTTCTGGCCACCTTTGCAAAGACCTTGTTTACAAAACAACTAGTGTGCTGCAAACTTGCTTAACTGATAACTCTGATACACATCAGCAACTCTCTTATTGTGTGATTCTAAGATCACTCTGCATGCTCACTCCTGTACCAGTGACCAGTGGGTTTTTCTACACCTGGTTACAGCTAATAGTAATATTGTAGTTGACTGTAACCTTCTTGTTACTTTCCCCCACACTTGTAACATCTGAAATTAATAATCTACCAAAAAGAGACCCATAAACTCAGATAATCCTGTTGACAAACTGCATATAAAGTAGTGTTAAAAAAAAAAACAAAAGTCTTTTTCAAAGGATTTGCTTTAATAAACAACTGAACTTCACTAGTGTTCGCAGGAAAACTAAAGCTCCATGAGTGCTCGAATATCATCTATCCGGGCCTGTTTTGCATCCTGTGAGTTTTTCACTCCAAAAGCTTTATCCACCAGCTCCTGCTTCTTTTTCTGAATCTTCACCATGTTCTCCTCCACTGAGTCCTTCACGATAAACTAAACAACAGAAAACAGGAAAGTTTCATTTTAAAATGACGTGGCTTAAGTTGAACAGTATATGGTCTGATATAACTAATGCTGACTTTTTAACTGTAAATGACAAACTATGGCTGATTGACTAAAACCTTAATTTCCTAAGTAGAGCTACATATAAGCTCTTAATGACAGCAATCATCTGCTGTTTAATTTCTGTTCATGTCATCTTAAGGGAAAACACTGTGACAAATCAGCTGGATGTTTGACTGTTGTAATCAGGACGCACATCAGTACTTGATTTAAAACACCTGAAAGTATTGCTGAACACGCCTACTTTGAATGGGAGACCATTATTTATTTTTATATATCAGTCTGGTTGCCATAAATTCTTTTGTTGCACTGGTGGATTTGGCTGTAAGCAATAATTTGTATTTGAAGTATTTTATATTTTAAAATGATTTGTCCTTCGATCTCCTTTTACCTCAAACCCACTGGCAGTCATCAATTGTCCTATATTGTGTAGACATTGATGTCACAGAATGAGCTTTTCTCCCATGTTGCAGTGTACGATTTCAATAAAGAAGCATTTTCCCCTCACTTTGGCAGCAATGTGGTGTGTGTGTGTGATATTTTTTACATGACTCTGGCATACCTAATTCTGATTGATCAATTTGATTGGTTCTGATTCACAAACTAACAGGCTCATGCAAGTGCTGTGAATCAACTTGATCATTAGTCAACACATTCATATCCACTTTTAGTTGTTAGTGTAGGTTGCATGCAGCCGTTTCTTTCGGCTTTATATTTAATTCATAATTCATTTACGTTTAGATTATTGTAATTATTACAGCCCAGATCAATGCTTTTGCGTCTAATTGTTTAGTTTGTTGCAAGTAGCTGTGTAATAACTGGGATAATGTACATCTAGGCGGTTGTTTTTTTTTTTCAGAAAAAAAGCCCTTCATTTTTTTTGCTTTGTGTCAGGCTGCTTATAATCCTGTGAGAACAATTGTCTAGATATACAATATTCCTTACCCCGGATTCATACACGTTTACTACTAAAATTTTGTGACTTTTCCAGAACTTTAAAGTACATTTACATAGTAAATATTCTAATTTGTTTTTATATCCATGTAAACTTGATTTAGATAATGTTTATGCAGCACCAAGTTTTTGGCCAAGAACAGAAAAGTAAAGACAACTAACCTATATTCAAGTTGAGGCTAACAATATATTGTTTCAGCATTGATATTGCAATGTGTGCATCCGCAATAGTCACATCGCAGGATATGTAATGTTGAGATTATAGTTTAATCATAGTGGAGTAAAAAAAAAAAAATTTTTCCTTTCACTTGTTACAAACATTTAGTTTTTTTTTTTTCTTTTTTAAATGAACACAAAAAGAATATAATGGAATAATTCCAATAGTATTGAAACAAGTAAAGTGTGAGTAAACACTGAGTACATTTGAATCTTTGAGTAAACTATCCCTGTGACAGAGTGAACATTTCAATATTTCAAATGTTAAAACATCCAACCACAATTTTTTTTGTAACTTTAATAAATATTACATTATATACAGTGAAGATCATACAATGTTGATTATTCAATTTCTGTACTGGAATATTGAATAGCTGAAAAGTATAATTCACTTTTATGTTTACTATACTTTATTTATCTATGCTTGTATTTATTTGTTATATATTGTTCAAATCACTCCTCTTCAAAATCCCCCCAATCAATCCACCTAAACCTGTTAAATCATTTGGTGAAAGTGTATACACATCGCAATATACAGTATATCACAGAAATACAAAATACTGTAATGTCAGATTTTATCAAAGTTGCGCAGCCCTAATTCAACCATGCAGATATTTGTTCAACTAATTTCCATAATTTTTCCAAATTTTTTTTTTTTTTTTTTTAATTTTTCAAAACTTTTCCAGGCCTGGAAAATTTCATGTCAAAATTCCATGACTTTTCCAGGTCTTCCATGTTCCGTATGAACCCTGCTTACATGACAACTGATGACACAAGCCTGCTGTATAGTGTGAGCACCACAGTGAAGAGAATGTAGTTTTGTCACTAGAATCCTGTACTATGAGAAAAGTCTATGAAAGTTTGACCCTTTATAGGTAACTCTTTGACAAGTTAATAGGGGTCATTACAATACTTTTCAACTTTAATGTTTTTTTTTTTTTGTAAATAATATTGTAATCAATGTCAGTGAAGTTACCATATATTAGCAGGATACAGGTTAAATTGACGTATTGGCACACTGGCTTACTCAATGTGTTCATGGTTATATGCAACACATTCTTAAAGAGATGTTTCAACACTCCAAAATAATGAAATTATCATTGTCATTCCAAACCTGTTGCTTCATTTTATTCCTTCGAACACAAACTAATTGACTGAGAATTCTTACTCGATGTTTTTCCCCCAGTACAAGTCAATACTCAACTAAAGTATAGTCATCAATATTCATTTTAATATCCTCTGTTTTGAAAATGTAAAGTCCTACAGGTTTGGCATAACATGAGGATGAGTAAATGATGATACATTTTCATTTTTAGGTGGACGATTCCTTCAATACCATGACAGGAAACATCACACACTGTAAATATGTGTCAGTTTTCCCAAGTTGTAAACCTTTGATCAAAATTTTTACCAACAACTGCTAAGAATAAAACTAGTAGTCATTGACTAAAAAGTAAGCCATTAACGTCATGCTCTGTTACATTTGTCAGCACTTCTGTTTACCACTGAGAAAAACGCCAGACGCGTAATAATAGCCATTGGAATCAGCCGCTAACATTCCTCTGAGCGCCTGCCACAGCAGAAATCAAAGAGCGTACCTTAGTGATCACCACATCTCTGCTCTGGCCCAGTCTATGACATCTGTCGACACACTGATCTTCAGCCGCAGGATTCCAGGCCTGAACAAACAGCACATTACATCATGAACAAATCAGCTCTTTGACATCCTAAGCCTCAATTCATTGCTCATTATAGATGTGTGAACACACTCAAACATTACTGGCTATCCCAGCACTCACAGGGTCCATCACGAAGACTTGGGAGGCTGCGGTCAGATTAAGCCCAACGCCTCCAGCTTTGAGTGATAGTAACATTATTGTGGGGCTTCCTGGAGTGGAGTCTTGAAAGTCCTCGATGGCCTTTGCTCTGGCCCTCTGGATCAGAGAGCCGTCCAGGCGAGTGAAAGAGAAGCCATATTCCCTGCAGACACAAGCAGCATCAACACAGTCATGGCTGATTTCAGGCTGTAGTTTACCTTAATCTCCAGGATGAAGACTGTACCTTAAGGCGACTTCAAGGACATCTAAAAACCCGGTGAACTGAGAGACCACCATACTCTTGACAGTGGGATCTTCATTGCGGAGTTTCAACAGGTTGCTCATCAAAGCGAGCGCCTGCAAAAAGGAAAGTAAAGTTCTGAAACATGGCTACTCATAATGACAACAAGACAATTTATATATATATATATATATATATATATATATATATATATATATATACACATACAGTTGAAGTCAATTATAAGTGCCTCCCTGAATTATTAGCCCCCCGTTTATTTTCCCCCCAATTTCTGTTTAACTGAGCAGATTTTTTTCAACACATTTCTAAACATAATAGTTTAATAACTAATTTCTAATAACAGATTTATTTTATCTTTGCCATGATAACAGTAAAATATATTTGACTGGATATTTTTTAAGACACTTCTATACAGCTTAAAGTAACATTTAAAGGCTTAATTAGGTTAACTATGCAGGTTAGGATAATTAGGCAAGTTATTGTATATCAATGGTTTGTTCTGTAGACTATTGAGAAAAAAAATTAAAGGGGCTAATAATTTTTGCCCTAAAATGTTTTAAAAAAATTAAAAACTGCAGTTATTCTAGCCGAAATAAAACAAATAAGACTTTCTCCAGAGGAAAAAATAATATCCGACACACTGAGAAAATTTACTTGCCTTGTTAAACATTATTTGGGAAATATAAAAAAAAAATTAAGGGGGTTTAATAATTCTGATTTCAACTGTACAAGTACACACACACACACACACACTTTATTAGGTACACCTTACTAGTACCAGGTTGGACCCCTTTTGCCTTCAGAACAGCCTTAATTCTTTGTGGCGTAGATTCAACAAGGTGCTGAAAATATTCCTCTGATATTCCTTGCTCTTTTGGTCCATATTGACTTGATAGCAACACGCAGTTACTGCAGATTTGTTGGGTGTCCGACCATGAAGCGAATCTCCCGTTCCACCACATCCCAAAGGTGCTCTATTGAGAACTGGTGACTGTGGAGGCCATTTGAGTACTGTGAAGAAACCAGTTTGAGATTTTTCACACTTTATATATGGTGCGTTATCCTGCTGGAAGTAGCTATCAGAAGATTGGTACACTGTGGTCATAGAGGCATGGACATGGTCAGTAACAATACTCAGGTAGGCTGTGGCGTTGACACGATGCTCAGTTGGTACTAATGGGCCCAAAGTGTGCCAAGAAAATATCCCCCACACCATTACACCACCAGCCTGAACTGTTGATACAAGGCAGGATGGATCCGTGCTTTCATGTTGTTGACACCTAATTCTGACCCTACCATCCGAATGTCACAGCAGCAATCAAGACTCATCAGACCAGGCAACGTTTTTCCAATCTTCTTTTATCCAATTTTGGTGAGCCTGTGTGAATTGTAGCCTCAGTTTTCTGTTCTAAGCTGACAGGAGAGGCACCTGATGTGGTCTTCTGCTGCTGTAGCCCATCCGCCTCAAGGTTGGACATGTTGTGAGTTCAGAGATGCTCTTCTGCATACCTCGGTTGTAACGAGTGGTTACTTGAATTACTGTTTGCTTTCTATCAGCTCAAACCAGTCTGATCATTCTCCTTTGACCTCTAGCATCAACAAGGCATTTGCGCCCACAGAACTGCCGCTCAATTGACATTTTCTCTTTTTAGACCATTCTGTGTAAACCCTTGAGATGGTTGTGTCTGAAAATCCAAGTAGATCATCAGTTTCTGAAATACTCAGACCAACCCGTTTGGCATCAACAGCCATGCCACGTTCAAAATCACTTTTCTTACCATTGCTAATACTCGGTTTGAACTGCAGCAGATCGTCTTGACCATGTCTATATGCCTAAAATTCATTGAGTTGCTGCCATGTGATTGGCTGATTAGAAATTTGCGTTAATGAGAAGTTGGACAGGTGTACCTAATAAAGTGGCCGGTGAGTGTCGTAGAAAATAAATTTGCCACCTTCAAGTTTGTGAAGACAAAGCAAAGTACTATACATTTACGAATAGAAGTATACATTTTCACTTGCCTTGCATTATGATTCAGAGTAGAACATATTTTTGGGCATCACAACAACTTTTCCTCCTGTCCTTTTAACAATAATAAAGTTTTATCCTTGTTTTTATATCTTCAAAAATCATCCCTCCATAAATTTACAAAAAATTTATTTCAAGCAATCCCAACAACAAAAAAGAGTTAAGAGATCAGATAAATATTGACAAAAGTTGAGTTTACTTTGGAGCTGGATCTCCAGTTTTCTCCAGTGTCTGACCGAGTCTCCGCTTGTTCTCCAGGATACTCCACTAGTTCTTTGGTCTTGATCTGAGCTCGACACAGAGGACACTTGGCCTGCTCCTAAAAGACACAAACCATATAAAACACAGGAGAAGTCTTCAGAAAAGCTCAGAGATGATGAAGCAGTGCTGACCTTCTCCGAGCGGATGACCTCACAGATGCAGGGTCTGCAGAACACATGAGCACAGTAGGTGATGACGGGCTGACGGAGGGAGTCCAGACAGATGGCACACTCCTCATCTGAGCCCGAGTTCAGCACTAATGTGATCTTCTGGATCAGACGCTCCCGCAGCTCACTAGGCGTCCCAGGAACATCTAATGCACATTTAAAGCATTTGATTGAATAAAGATGGGGTTTTTAACCACTATGCACATGCAGCGGTAGTAGTAGTAGTTTTCTAAACAGTTGTGTTGTAAAGTTTGAAATGTTAACAATTCTTTTTACTAATAATGTTTGTTAAATGTTATTTAAACATTACTACAATGTTGTTTTGTCTTATGTAAAAGTACTTGTATGGTCTGTCTTAGGGTATGTCTATAGTTTAAGCATTTTTAGTATATCTATAGTTAGTAGTTAGTGCACTTACTCTTACATGCAGTTTTGTCCATATTTAAGATATTAATCGGAATCTAAATATCAGAATTGGAGAGCTTTATTGCCAGGTATGTTTACACATATGAACAGCTTTGTGTTCGTGACAGAGCATCTACTGCACAACAGAATTACAGAGACAGGACAAAAAACAAATAATTAATATATTTAAAAAATAGAAGCAAGTAGTGAATGCAAATATACAAATTGTGCATATACAAGTGTATGTACAGATATATTTCAATATACAACATTATATGTGCAGCTGTAATGTGCAAACTGGCATGTAAAATATGTTTAATAAATATAAGTGTACATGTGTATAAAAAGTAGTGATGTTTGTTTCACAATTATCTATCATGTCAATTATTAACTATCATAATGTGTTCATAAGATGGATTGCCTAAGGGAAGAAACTGCGGGAAGAAATTGTTTCTTTTAATATGATTTTAACTGAAAACAATCTACAGTATTTTCCAAAACATACATCACATCTGAATACTATTTACAATACCAAAATTGCATTATGCCAATATTTTTAAAACATATATTTTTAATTCCCTGAATGGACTTTAACTCACTAAAATTTGAGTTTATATCTCACAATTCTATATCACAATTCTCACAAGTCTTATATGACAATTCTGCCATTATTGATCTGGATAAAGTTATCTATGGGTTTTACACACGGATGTACAGTATGCATGCTTGAAAATGCAGGAATAACTTTGAGGAAAAAAAATGCCCTTTTCTCTTTTTTTGTCAAAAGATTTGAGAGTTTTTGATCAAATTTATTTAAAAGCAGAGGTTTGGTTCTTCATTTAGATATTTAGCAGAAAATAATCAGAGGATGATTTAGGTAAAAATCATCAAAACACTGGCGGTGGCTGGTACCTCAAAAAATATTAGTAAGGAAAAAGTTAACAACTATTAAATCCACAATTTTATATATATATATACATATATATACATATATATATATATATATATATATATATATATATATATATACGCACGCACGCACGCACGCACGCACGCACGCACGCACGCACGCACGCACGCACGCACGCACGCACGCACGCACGCACGCACACACACACACACACACACACACACACACACACACACACACACATACAATTAGTAAATAACAATTCTGAGAACAAAGTATGAAGGTCTGAACTGCAGGATATCAATTTAACAACAAATCATATTAATATAAGAATATTCAGAACAGAAAATAAATGAAAATAATACAAGTCTATCTACAGGTGTATGTGAAATGTGCCATGCAAAGTGTCATTCGGCACAAATGTGCATTTGTGAAAATGTTTTGCTTATGTGTTGTTTCCTGTCTAATATCACCGCTGGCTTGCATGGTTTAGGACTTACGGAGCTGCACCTCAATGGATTTGTTCTACAGTATTTGCACTTTTTAGCAGTGAATATTAAACCACACTGAACTAAACTGAACTTCAACTCTGAAAACTGGACTAACATAGTTTTTAATTTACTTAATCTTCTGTGTTAAGCTGCTATCTACATTGTAAAAGCGCTATAGAAATAAAGATGAATTGAATTATATCACTTTAATATATAAAATACAGCACATTTCATATATTAATGAGATGGACATAATGTTGGGAAAACATGGACAACTGAAAGCAATCAGTGGCTAATCTTTCCTTCATACCTGCCGCTGTGTAATTGCCCACCAGACTGGGGTGGCAGCAGCACTGTCTCAGACGCATCAAGATGGTCAACACATCAGCATAGTTTGCCATGAACGTTCCCTCTTGGAAATATCTGTGAAGACACAATTTTCAGACTTTAAACATGCTCTAATGTTAAAGATTTTAGAAGCTGTAACAAAACTACACACACCTGCCGACGATATTCTTGCCCTCCCCCTTGACTCGTTCATACTTTTCCCTCTCCATCCCAGAAAGAGTTACATACTGCACAAACACTCTCCGCTCTGGTAGCTGAACCAACGTCCGTCCGCCCACTTTACTGTTCTTAGTGCGTCTCAGTGTGATGCCCTTCACCAGCGCTTGCAAGTTCCTGATAACACATTCAAATGCTAGAGGAGTTCATTCAGTTTGAGAGATTGGTAACATGTTATTTTGGATGCAGCATTTATGAACATACTTCAGCCCAACTCTGTCTCCCATGGTCACAGGCCTCTGAATGATTCTGCTCCACCACTCTTTCACATCAAACGGCTTCAGCTTCAAGAAAGACAGCAGCATGAACAGATCCTTCAGAGAGTTCTGAATGGGGGTTCCTGAAAGTCAAGATACAGATTAAAGAAGTGGCTGTCCAGGTGATGACCCTTCCAGGATTGGCAAATACCCTTTTAGTGTTATGATTATTAATACATTTGAATTTGTGTTTAAGAGACTAGATCAGGGGTCACCAAACTTGTTCCCGGAGGAACGGTGTACCATTCCGATAAGATGCCTACTAGAGAGCAAGACATCCTTGAAGTAGATAGGCATACTTTGTGTATGTGTTTTTTATGAGAGGAGACTTGTTGCTTAAGTAATCTTTTTAGATTTCAGATTTTGCTCTGAATTTTACGCACACATGTAAAGATTGTCTAATTTATCTACATGTATGATGCCGTTAGTAATGATATTTTAGAGGTTAATTGATGTGACTTTGAGACTGTATGAGAGCGGCCTACAAACAAACTCTGTGTGAGTGCTGAAGCTGGCTTCTGCTGTACTATTAACTGCAAATTATCTTCAGTAAACTTTCTGTGATGGATTTAATGGCTGACAGGTATTTGTCCATGTCGGGTCCTTGTGTTTCACTGTTGTTCATCTAACAATATCTAGATGGATGTCCTTCATAGGTACTAAGATTAATTATTTTTTTTCTGATTATTTACCCCCAAAAGATGTATGCGATTTATATTCTTCAGCTGACGAGGAAAACGTTTTGAGAGAAACATTTGAGGATTTTACTCCATTTAATTCAAGAGACTGCTCAACATACTCTATCAAAAATCAACATCTAGGCAGTTTTGAAGTAATCCACACAACCCCAGCTAACAAATAAGGAGCTTTGCAACTCATTTTGTTTAGAGGAAAAAACTAAACGAGTACCATCTAGTTCACAGCCTCTCAGCTGACATGAATTCTCTATATAGAGGAGTCAAAAGAACTGCCACATTGCTTACAAAGGAATCTGCAAATGTTACATAAGTACCCGTCATACTGTTGTTTTAGATGATTTTGAATTAAGAAGAAATCTCTTTGAATTACTCAACTAGAAATATTCTCATACACTAATGCAAAGATTGAGTGCATTTGGTCAAAGCACAAGACTTTTGGTTAAAGCACAACGTCCACACAAACAATGGTCTTGGTTCTTCCTTGACCTTCCCAGTCTGCATATTTTATGTGAGAGTTTGTGAACTAAACCATCACATATATATTGCAGAGCTGAAACAAGACTAGCAACTGTAGTCAAAAAGTATAACATTTAATTTTTTCAAAAAATTTGACAGCTGTGGACGTGTGTATTACTGTGACGCTGCATAAATCTGAATTTCCAACAGTCTATTCGCTGAGTTACATTCACTTGCATTAGACGGAGAAAAATACAAATTTCCCCTCGGCTGAAGAAAGTCATAAACACCTTAAATGGCATCGGACTGAGTAAATAATAATAATAATAATAATAATAATAATAATAATAATAATAATAATAATAAGGAATTTTATTATTTTTTGGTTAAAATTATTCCTTAAATAATCTGCCCTTTAGAAGCTATAAAAGGGCAAACCATGTCAATGAGGAAACTACCTAGGACTGAGACTGAGGGAGGAATCTGCCAACCTCCAGTGGTACTGTAAGTGAATGTACCTGACAGGATCCACCTGCGCTCTGACTGGAGCTCCAGTACAGCTTTGCTCTGAAGAGCGTTGGGGTTTCTGACAACGTGACCCTCATCCAGAACCACTCTCAGCCACTTCACATTATGCAAAGGACTGCTGGCTTTGTTCTGCAGAATGAGGGTTCAATTTAAAAAAGGTACATTATTAAAAAGTTGCTTATTTATTTCACCATGTCAAAAACTGGTCTTCTCTGGTCCTAAAATTCATTCCAAAAGCCAATCACCCTAAAATATTTTTTTACCCAAACCTGACATGCATGACTTCATTTTTTTTAAAGAATAACCAATGAAATTAGACACAAGTTCAACCACACTGCATTTCTATTCAAACCTGACCAGACAAAAAGGTTAGTGAAATTAATGTGTGGACAGCCTGGACACTATTGCAGCCTCATTACATTCTCTGCCAACAAGGTGGATTGTATATTGTAAATAGACACTGTGTTAAAATGTCCACTTGGAAAAAGTAAATTCACACTAACTAAGTTCATGACTGTTTAGGTGAGCCATTGAGACTGTCCCATGAACAGAAAAGAAAGTTGATTTAGCTGATAATCTGATTCTACTGAGTAGAGTTCAAAGTTTATGCATTTCTGTTCCCAATTCTTCTCCTTTTTCATCTGTACACAAGCATAAATGCATGGGTATTTAATGTTAGAAAAAATGTATAACGGCGTACAAATGAAAAAGGATGTAGTGTCTGTCAGCCTGGCATATTTGCCACAACATGCGTGTAGCTCATATTGGTTCCACAATCAAAATCAAGGCTTCTTCTTGGGACTTTTGAGGAAATCTTTACTGATCAGCAGGTCCATTATTTTACAGTACATACCATTTAGTAATATCTTATAATACACCGAGATGCAGATTCTGAAGTATCTGCCACTTTTCCACAAAGTAAAATAACATGTGAGCCTTTTAAAAATGACACATCGCTATTAGCTTTACAGTAAAAGACAACTATTTTTGTGCAAATAGCACCCTGCCAAGTATTTATGCCAAATTTTATAAGCCTCCTGTCAGTTTTCTTCAGTTACTACTACCAACAACAGAAACAGCAAGACTGTTTAAATCCACTCACCCCGAAATCAGAGGAAAGCACGTTGTATGTTGTGAGAACCACATCTTGCTCTGACAAAAGGCTGACTGATCTATTGCGCTCAGAACCATAGTACAGGTACACTTTTACTGTGACATCTGTTCGGATATGTTGCTCAAACTGGTCCTGGATTGAGATGAAGCACAAATGAGAGCAATGCGAGTTAATGATCTTTTTAAAACAAATAAAAAATGTGTGTGTGTGTGTGTGTGTGTATGTGTGTTTCAATAAGCTGATTTTAAACACTCACCAGCCAGTTGCTAAGGACAGACAGTGGACATACAATTAAAGTGGCTCTGGCCACAGAGCCCGCACTGATTTCAGATGGTACTACAACACACAAAGCAGACTGATTGCTTTACACGATCTTGAAATCTCAATAAATAATCTGAAGAAATTCTCATCAGCATTACACTCACCAGAGCTCTTCTTCACACACTTTTTTGAAGGCACAACCTGTGAGGAACTGCACTCTAGAGCGGCAGCGAATTCCACATCATCCAGCAGAACCACTGCTATGTATGTGAGAGCAAGATGAAGAAAATATATCAAGCATCAACTTACCAGAAAAAAGGAAATAAGTACCTTTCTTGGTGTTGGCAGACTTTTTCTTTGTGGTTTTTGCTATAAGAAACACAAACAAATGTGAGATGAAAATAAAATCAATGCAAATTTGAACAATAACATTTGCACAAAAGTGTCAGTGGCATGCATAAACATAAATGAACATAAATACATTTTGCAGGTCCCATAAAAACTTATGCAAAGTTAATTATAATATTGATTAAATGTTTAGGGTCAGTAAAAAAAAAAAAAAAGAGAGAGAGAAATTAACGAAAAACACATAATTTATTAAAAGTGACAAACAACTTCTACATTACTTAAAAAAATTTATGTAAATGTATATTAAATGTATTCACCAAATAAAACCAAAATATATACATAAAATAAAAAGATGCGTGTATCAAGGTTTACTAAATATATATTAGGCTTTAAATCTTTTTTTTTTTTTCAAAAATAGAGAAACCAACTTTTCTTCTGAGGTCCATTTTCCCTAACAGTGTCATCATGCAGTCTTTTTAATGGGGATAAACCCATTGATTCCTGAGATTCTTCACTGTCTACACCTTTCTCTTTAAAAAAAAAAAAAAAAAAAACATTTTAAATATAAATGAATAAAACCTAAACATTAAAACAGTTTTCTATTTCCAGATGATGGGCTACTTTCTTACCTTTGGAAGTTGCTTGCTTTCTCTTAGCAGAAGGCATGGATGGTCCTTTCTGAAAAGTGGTGTTTTTCATTACATTTTGGCCAGTCTCACAGTAATTAGTTTCATTATTTCAACAAAACATGAAGAAACATGTTTATTTGCATCTTACACATTTTTCCAGTGGCAGAGGCTTCCCGTTGTGAAAATTCGAGACTATCAAGGCAATAGTGGTGAGGGTTTTCCCCTGAAACGCAGCACAACATTTGTGACTACACAAGCAGAGCTTACCGAGCACTAAAATAACAACATTCAGTCATCTGACCAGCCCCATATCATCAGCCAAAATCCCTCCGAGCACTTTCTCTGGTCGCTTCTTCACAGCAAAGTTAGTGAGAACATTAAAGTAGAGGCCTTTGTTCTCCTCCCAAAACGGGGGCAGATCATTGCTGTTTTCACGAGAGCTCATCCACGAGAGGGCCTGCTTCTGATGGGACAGCAGAGGAGTACATACTGCCTGTACAGACAGACATCAACACATTAGTACATGACTGACAGTAAACAAAAACAACATTTAGTCCGTGCTCACCTCTGCTGGCTCCATTTCTTTCGTTTTATCCTCCATTAAATCATCAAATAGCTTGTCAAAGGCATTTTTCAGCTGATAAGATGGAACAAAATCAGGTTTTATTATTACTATTATTTTTAAAAGTATTATTATTTTAAAAGGCATAGTATGCAAGTTTTTTTTTTCTTATTAAAATATCTAATAGTGTTCTTTTGCTGACTTTTGTACTTAAGTTATCTTAAATGTTTCAAAGAACACTAAAATCCAAAGAAATAAGCAATTTTAACTAGTGACACGACCAGTGTCCTGTGTCGCCATGCTAATGACATCATAAATTCTCCCATTTCCAGTTAGGTATTTTAGAAAACAAAGAAACGACCAAAATGCTTTAATATGATCTTTGTTTTATTAGACTGCACAGAGCAGCGTTATAACACCCTAAACATATTTGTTATGATAAAACTGTGCTGCTTCCTCCCCCATGTGATCTCGGACAGAAGAACCAGAAACAGTCAGCAGTGACATCAAAGTTCTGCTGATTTTGGGCCACTTGGTACTCATCAGCAATTGCTTCTGAGCTCTTGTTTTGCTTTGAGCCTTAAGGTCTTTGCATCTGAAGTCCAAAAAAAAGTCTAAAAAAATCTGAGGATTAATGCTGAATAATTTTGAGAGTATTACAACTAAAAACTTAATATTTGAAATCAAAATAATACCTTTTTAACTTTAATGTTAACAATGCAAATTCAATTAAATCCACTTATTTGGTAAACAAAAGCAAGTCTCTCATATAATACTAAGACAAAAAATATTACTTCACAAACTGTATTGTAAATAAATTATATGAACATTTTTATATTAGTCAATAATATTACTGAAATTAATTTAAAATCTGAATAAATTTAAATTTACACAAGCAAATAAATACACTGATGGGCTAAAAATCTGCAGACTTCTGCGCACAGATTCCGTGTGGGCCTACCGAGGATTATTAACACAATTTATGGAGGCAGCGTGTAAATTTCCTTACCACAGCGTGAGGTCATTTAAAATTTCAGACTCAGTGTACAATGAACTTTAATCTGCTTCATACTACAATGATAATACTTTTTAAAATTTTTAGCTCATACATGAAAATGTTTTCTGCAGGAGTCCATTAAGATGTAATAAAGACGACAAATCTCATGATCCCATGATTTCACACTCAGTCACAGGGTCATCAAACTACACCTTTGTATGTAGTAAATATGCATTATACATACTGTGCCTTTAATGTTTGATTATTTAAACATTTTTGCTGGTACTATGTCAGTATTTGAAAGAAAGAAAGAAAGAAAGAAAGAAAGAAAGAAAGAAAGAAAGAAAGCTGAGAACCACTTATCTATATTTTACCATTCTAAAACATAAAAAAATGTATTAGCTTTTTATGACTAAAAGAAATGTGTCACAAAAAATGTACCTCTTCAGCAGACAAAGGAATGGCAGATAGTTTTGTGGATAATCCAAGAAGATCTCTTCCCAGAGATGTTTGTGAAGAACCTCCTGCAAGAACAAAAAAAAGGTCAATAGCACAAACATAAAGTGTTCAACAAAGAGCAATAACCAACAAATAAACTACTGAATGAACCTCTGAAGTCCAGATTGAAACCAAAGCCTATCATCAGATTATTCACAACCTCCCTGTTCTCCTCTTTACCCCAAAAGGTGAGAATCACTGGCATAGAGAACTTATTTTTCTCTCCGTAGGGCACAATCCTATTAAAAGATCAAATATAAAAGAAGCTGTTGCAATTGAATTACAAAAAGTCCATTTATTTAATTCATTTATTAAAAAACATTTTAAATAAACTTGAGAAATTGCTTTAAACGTGTGTAAAAAATAAAATAAAAAAACAGCACAGTACCCCTCCACCCTGGCCAGTTTGTTGTCCATAATGTAGGCCATTGCAGCTGCCAGCTCTTTCTTGATGTGCCCCACCTGACTGCCATACACATTGGCAACCATCACTGCATTTCGGTCATAGGGATTGTGCGGCTCTCTCACCAAGGATACCATCTCTCCTTTATTGACCTACGGCATGTGTCACAATCAAATATTTTTTTTTTGAAACATAATCAGTCATATTAGATTCTATGTTTTTATTTTACCCCTAGAGGGCACTCTATACTGCATGGTGAGATGGGGTACTACATAGATCACTTGTTTCTCTCAGTTGATGAAGGGGTAAGAGATATTGAGCAGGTTCAGATGTCGGGAGAATAAATTTGATATGTAAATAAAGCCATGTTGTGCTGCAACATATAATTCTGATTTTGTTTTATCAATCGTTGTAACTTTATGCAAGGGGAACCTGACACAAGATGTACTTAGCTCGATGCCAACCCTTTTATAGATGAATTAATAGTCAAATTTTAAGAAAAAAATCATGTTATGAAAAGGTTACAAAATGTTCTCAGATTAACAGGAAAGTTCACCCAGAAATTAATTCTGTCATCATTTACTCAACTTCACTTGTTCCATAGCTTGTTTGAGTTTCTTCTGTTTAATAGAAAAGATACACTGAACACTTATTAACTTTCATAGAATGCTTTGATTCTATTATGGATGTAAGTGGCTGCCTTTTTTTCAACGTTCTTAAATCTTAATTTGTGTTCATCAGAAGAAATGTACAAATTCTTAAAACCACCTAAGTAAAAGAAAAGGGTGAGGAAATGTTTATTTTTGGGTGAACTATCATTTTAATATATGTTTTTTTTTTCTGTTTCCACTTGCAGATTGTGTGGTTAATGTTAAAATAGACTGATACACTATCAAAAATAATTATATTAATTATAATTATTGCTAACTCATGGAATCTTATTGTAAAGTAGGGCTGCACAATATTAGAAAAATCTGATATTGCAATTTTCTTTTTTTTTGCAATAAATATTGCGATATGAATATTTTCTGGGGAGTCTAGCATTATTCAGGTACAGAAATTAAACAATCAAAATGCAAAAAAAATGCTTTTCTTAATTTGCTTTGTCTCATTTCTAGTCCAAATATCTAAAAATATTTAAATTAAGTAAATAATATTGTTTTGTTTTCAACTTCAGAAGAAATAATGAGTTCTTCCTCAAAACAAGACAATTATCTGCCATTGAAACCATTGAGGTGAATAAAACAATCTTATTTTCTTGCTTTAAAATGTGGATAATTTGGAAAACAAGAAACAAGACAAAAATTCTAAGTGAGAAATTTTTTTTCTTTTTTGCATAAATTACTTATAAATACAGTAATTAAATACAATTCTGTAGCTCTTGGTCAACTATAATTCAGACTCAAAATTGTATATATTGCGATGTGACTATTGCGGATGTGCACATTGCGATATCGTTGCTGAAGCGACATATTGTGCAGTTCTATTGTAACAACTACCCAAAATTCTTGCAAGCAGGAATTGTCCAAGAACAAATAAATACATTTAAAAAGTGGAATATTTGCTTTATAGACAGAACCAGACAAAATGGTGTTAACATAATAATAACAATAATATAATAACTTGTAAATAACTTGTAATAAAATGATTACATGTAAACATGTAAAGTGATAATCCTATTAAAAGCCTATTATCAAATACTGTATAATTTCATGGTAGTGGGATTATTAAATATATCAGTGTTTTTGTTTTTTTGTACAGATATCTGGACACACAAATCTGCATTGAGGTAAAGTTGGTTTTATATTTGTACATTCGAACTTTCTTCTCAGTAATATAATTTCAGAAAACTATTCTTTGCAAATTCTTAACAGGGAAATTATATTAGCAGCCAATGACTATTAAAGTCCACTGTTGACAGTCAGTTAAATGGTGCTGTTTTGAAGTCATTCTTGCATGATATTTCAGACCGAATATTCAAAGCGTTAAGTTTTCACTGCTTAAAAATGAACAAATGTACAAATATAAAACCAACTTAACCGCAACCAAATATGCTTTGATTTATTGTAAAATGCAACAATTCATACCGCTCCAGTGTAGTATCGCAAACCAACAATTAAGCCTTGAATTGAACCAAACAGAACATTCCCCTCTGCCTCCAGCTCCTGTCCTGCATCTTCTGTTAAATTGGCAAGTTCTTGTGATAAGGTCATTGTGCTGCCCACGTCCATAAAATCTATGAAAGCTAATGGTGGATGACAAACAAGAAAACGTATATTAAACTTCTGTTCAAACATAATGGGAAAAGTTTTTCAGTGTAACGTTAATTAATGTAATTTAGCATATAGTTGGGACCACTGATATGATAAATTAATATTCTCATATGTAGATATTTGTGTTTTTATCACCGTATCTTGGCGGGGTGCTGCTGGAGGCTGTTGAGCTGCTTGATGACTGCATGTCTGCAAATCACAACATAAACACCAAACTTCACTGAACCACGTCCTAACAACAAAAGCAACAGACAACAAACAATTAAAGAGCAAAGCCAATGTACCATAAAGCAGAATCAAGATACCAGTTACTTAACTTTACATATAATTCACAGTAAAACGTCTCCATTCAGCTAGAATGCCAAGCAAAGCTGTTATCGTGGATTAAGTTAAAATGATGAGCTGCAGGCCACACCCACCTCTCGAGCAAAGAGTCCTTTTCAGTAATATCTGACTGTAAATGAGGCCAACTGTAAATACTGCATGGGCGATGAATATCGCTGCGTTCACGGGTTTATTGTAGGTCAGTTATCTAATTCTGAATACAAGTCTCGCTTTCGTGACGCCAGTGAGTGGCGCGAGTGTTTTGAAACCACACGTCTATTTTCGGCGCCAGCAGTCATTCTACGTCATTGTCACATGAACCAATCAGGACCGACTGGTGGCGGTAAAACAAACTCAACAAAAGTCTTGTAAACATTGTTAATAATCTCTTTATTATTTATTGATAACATATCGCATACACAAACAAAAAAATGCTAAGTCATCTCTCACATTAATTGTTTTTTTTGTATCGATTTTTTGTATCGAACTGTTTTTTGTATCGAAAACAATATATTTATTTTTATTTACATTCGTTTATTTTGTAACATTGTTATATTCGTTTTTTTTATGAACACCTTTTATATTGTTTTGTATGTATGTTCCTCATGGTTTGTGCAATAATAATAAAAATCCCTCAAGGTTTACTCACCCGCCAAAAGAGAGAGAGAGAGAGAGAGAGAGAGAGAGAGAGAGAGAGAGAGAGAATGGCGGCGGTCGTCAATACAGAAATCCTTTGAATATTATTATTTTTTTAGTTTACTGATAATTGCACCATTTGTAAAAATGAGTGTGAAGACATTTGTCACTTGTTATTTCATACAATGTATCATCATTGTATTGGTATTGTACAGTAGCTTAAGTTCATATTACTTTTCCGATGTTAAAATGAGTTGTAATTTGCACCTCAAGGATGGTATTTGTTAATTTCGAAAATCAAAACAAGTCGTTGAAAGCCACTATAAATTTTCATTCTATACTTGCTAGGAAATTTTACTTTCACAAACAGAGGTTTCGTTAAAAAAACACAAACTCTTACAGACTTCTTATGTGAAATAGAACATTTAATAAATTCAATTAGATTGATTGATAATAAGAAATGTACTTCTTTTTTGCGTAAACATGATGAAATCTTTCATGCTTGATTTTTTATCTTTTTATTGCATTATTATTATTATTTTTATCTACTTAATTTTTGGTTTTGCTCTTAATACTGTTCATCTAGTGTTGATATTGTAAGAACTATTGTCTTTTCCTGTAGTCTATATAATATGCAGTTTCTTGATGTCACTAATAATAATAATATTAATAATAATAAAATGACAATTTATTTAATAATAATAATAATAATATTTTTATGATTTCTAAATACTACTAATACTAATACATATTTTCCCTTCATATTTATTTTTTCTTATAAGTAATTATTGTTTTACAAAGAAATTTAGATTTATAATTTTTTCTATTAACATAATGACTTTTATTTATTACGTATTTAATTGATTTATTTTATGATTTATTACTTATTTGCTTTGATTAATTTTATCATGTATCAATTATATTTAGACATGTATTTATTTGTTACATTGTTATCCGTACTACTACATTCATTCATTCATTTTATTTTTGGCTTATTCCCTTTTATTAATCTGTGGTCGCAACAGTGGAATGAAGCGCAAATTCATCTAGCACATGTTTTACACAGCGGATGCCCTTCTAGTTGCAACCCAGTACTGGGAAACAGCCATACACTCTCACAAGCACACACATAAACCAGGGCCAATTTATTATTCAATTCACTTAAACCGGAGCAGCCGAAGGAAACTCACGCCAACACAGGGAGAACATGCAAACTTCACACAGAAATGCCAACTGGCCCAGTCAGGACTCGAACCAGTGACCTTCTTTCTGTAAGGCAACAGTGCTAACCACTGAGCCACAGTGTCACCCTAATAATAAAAATAATAATGATGATAAAAATGATATAGATATTGTATATTGTTATATATATTATTATAAGTTATTTTTATAATTTATTTTAAGCAAAGTAACCAGAAACTTTATTTAAACATATTTTAATATATAAATTAACTAAAATCGTCAGACACATTAAATAAAAAAAAGACAAGCTTGTATGGACAATACTTTATTTTTAAAAGATACACTTATCAAGAAGTGATATGAAACAAAATCATTCTTGCGGAAGGAAACAACATTCACAGTATACAAGTTGTTACAAATTGTAATTGTAATTACAAATTAGTACTTGAGAAAGACAATTAGGGAAAAGGTGTTAAACAGTCAACAAGTCAATGGAAAAGAAATATAACCTACTTCTGTAAAAATCCAATGCAGATTAAAACGAAAGATTTGGCATTGACAAAAGAAAAGCATAGCAATAAAATGATGATGACACATTTATCAGGTAAAAATCTCATTACATATTGGCTTTAAAGTCACATATTGGGCTTTTACTTTCCCAGAATGATTATCCAACTGTGTCCTTTCTCACGATGTCCTTGGCAAGGCTCTTTAAAATTTTGAGATTTATTCTTCATTTTTACCACTTTAAAACTGACACAATGAGCCTACAAACATACACAGACGCAAAGACCAAGTGAGGAATTATTTTTCAACTGCTGCACTGAAAAAAGTTGTTCAATTATAGCTTATCATCCTGATATACTGTATATCAAAGGTGGCATTCAAATTAGCTAAATATCCCATAGCAAGACTGGAGCAAATGCATCTTTATTATATGTAATTTTAAATTCAAGAACAATGCATTTAATCAAAGGAGATTTCACACTATCCCAATGGATTTTTTAAGTTGCTGACAAATGACAGGAGGTTTCAGAGACTCTAGGCTCAGGTTAATGGTTTTATCAGGTACAGTTTATCTCCATGCTCACTGGTAAATATGGGGGCCTTTTTGTAATGTTCCACCAGATCCTCCATGGTGCTGAACTTGCGCTGACCAATGCAGAAGAATCCATCATTTAGCAGCACCTTGAAATGCTTGTTCTTGTACAATGCCTTGAGAGAGATGGAGAAGTCGTTTGGCTGAGGAAAAAGAAATTAAAATTGAGAGGTTGCGGTTTCAAAAAAGCACAAATAAAATCAATGCACATACCCTTCAGAATGCATACATTAATAAAGATAAATAAAGCAGCCTATGTAAAGTATGAATGTAAATTATGCCTATTAATTATGCAATTTTAAATATTCCTAATTTTGTTTTGGATGTCTCCTACTATGGATTTAAAGCAATTCAAAGTGCATTTTTCTTGATGTAGGTATTTTTATGTTTCTCATGTGACTTTTTAAATTAGCATATTGCTAGCTCGATCGTTCAGTCAACAGCAAAATAAACTGTATGTCCAACCTCATCTTACTATGTTTTCATTTCTGGTGATTCTTCAAAGTATAATATAATATTAATTAATCTGATATTGAACACCGTATGGTGTATTGTCAGTTTTGCTTTCCTTGATGTGGTAATGACTTTTCACTTGCTTTTTGCCATCTTGTGACATTGCATAGTACTGCAATAAGGTTTAATTTGAGTATATGTTGAATACTTCAACAAGAATTGTCCTTTGGTCTAGAATGTGCAGTCAGTTCTCAATTATCTTATTATTAGAACCTGAAACTGACAACCTGAAACTACCTCAGGTGGCCTTACAGACACACCAGTGCAAACAGATCTTTTTCAAAGGTTTCATATTTCCTCTGTCTCTCCATGTGCCTTTTTGATATGGCTTGTGTATGCACAAAGTCTGTTATAAGCTAAGCTCTTTTACTTTTTAATGCATAGAAACCCAGATTTATTTTATTTTCCAGCATAATTCGCACTGGCCTGGCTGTGGATATGTGGCTAAAAAAAACTAAAGTCTGGCTTTTTATACAGTTTTGTTACACATACCCAGTGGTGTACAGTAACTACAAATACTCAGATTACTGTAATTGAGTACTTTTACTCAGGAATTGTAATTAAATAAGTAGTTTTAAAGATATGTTCTTTTACTTTCGCTTAAGTACATTTTTAGTGCAGTATCTGTACTTTTACTCCACTACTTTCCTTCAACCTGCAGTCACTACTTTACTATTTCCTGTAATTCCTGTCCAATCAAATCTCACAAAGAAGGTAAATCACATCATGATGAACAACCTCAAGACATGGGCCATTTATAATTTCAGCAAACTGTTTGGAAGAATTAAAAGTGTCCAAGAAGATGATAAAAATCTTTACATGCATTGACCCAGAGACTGTTTAGATGCATGTCACTGATGAGAAGATGATGGAGGTTTACTGTAAGATGACTGAAATGGTCTTAAACACAGCAGGCACAAGACGTCAACATGATGTCAGATTGACATTGTACCCCAACGTCATGGGGATGTTGCATTTTGTTTGGAAATGAAAATCAGGTTAACGTCAGAACTCAACATCAGGCCGATGTCAATGTCCAACGTCAAACCTAAAATCAACCAAATATCAACATCTGATGATGATGTTACGGCTTGATGTTACCACTATGACGTCTATCAGATGAATTTTGGTTGCCATACCTGATGAATAAATGTCAGTATTTGATGTCAACATGACAATGGTTTTAAGATGTTATTGGTCACTTTCTAACTACCTTAAATCGACCAAATATCAACGTCATTTCACGTCGTTATTGTACGTCAAAATAACATTGTCCTTAGACGCTAGTTAGACATTAAATTTTGGTCACCTGACATCAATTATGACAACGTGTGCCTGCTGGGCAATGACTGAATGCACTACAGAATGTTACATTTACACACACATGCACAAATTACATGTAAATGCATCAGCTTTTTACAACATACTCACTACTCTTGAGTACTTTTGAAAGGGTTACTTTTTTTACTCATATTTTCAGTAATATTTACACTTTTACTCTACTTGCACTACATTTTTAGGCAAGTAATGGTACTTTTACTTGAGCATGATTTTTCTGTATGCTTTACACGACTGCACGTACCTATGTTTGTGCAGGAATTAAGGAAACTATACACTTTTTAAAAAAACACTGTTCATTTATTAAAGAAAGCATTGCAGGCTTAAAATCCCAAACTTTTCACAAACCCTTCTAAGCTTTAAAAATAATACAGTTTATGAATAATAATAATAAATATGAAAAATATAAAAGGTGTGGATTATATATGAGATCAATGTTAACACTTTACAGATGGTTTTGTGACTGTAAACCTCATTCTCATCAAATGCCACTGACCTTTAAATTATGATA